CCACACCCAGCTATTTTTTTTTGTATTTTTAGTACAGAAGGGGTTTTACCATATTGGCCAGGATGGTCTTGATCTCCTGACCTTGTGATCCACCTGCCTCGGCCTCCCAAAGTGCTGGGATTACAGGTGTGAGCCACCGTGCCTGGCCTGTGTATTTGTTTCATATATTTAAAATATATACTTACATATTTTTGTATGTAGATAAATTAAATAACATATAAATGCTATCATACTATGTTTTGAATATATTTCTGTTATTTAGAAATAACATTTACCTATACCATTCATTTATTTGTTATTTATTTGTCTTTCTTCTCTTTCAAATTTCTTAGTGGTATTCTAAATGAGCACATCCAGCCTGGCCAACATGGTGAAACCCCATCTCTACTAAAAATACAAATTAGCCAGGTGTGGTGGCAGGCATCTTTAATCCCAGCTACTCAGGAGGGCGAGGCATGAGAATCACTTGAACCTGGCAGGTGGAGGTTACCGTGAGCCGAGATCGGACCACTGTACTCCAGCCTGGGCAATAGAGCGAGACTCTGCCTCAAACAAACAAACAAAAAACCCCAAACAGCAAAATGAGCACAGACATCTTACAGAGTACCTCTTTGAAGGATACCGTCAAATCTTACCCCACAGAAAGTCACTGTGGTTCGTACTATGTTAGTTTGTCCTAAGTCAGTCTATGGAAATGTGAAGTGTCTGCCATGTCAAACAGTAACCGAAACGGAGAATTATCACAGATCACGGTTCTGGCACATGCTGTAGTCTGTGGAGCAGGAACTTTTTTGTTCACGGAGATCTTTTAAAACACTTTCTAAAATCCAATGCACTTTACTCGTAGTCTGTGTCATTGTTTCTTGGCCTTTACAGAAAGAAACGAGACACTGGAGAGGAAATGCTTTATCCATTCTGTAATCACTGTCCTTGCCATCATCCGTTTTTAATCTTTTCCACATCAGGGTCACATAAGGAAAGGGAAAGTTTCCATCTCTTCCTAATTCTGTCATGAAGTGATCTATCTAAAAATAGCCTCGCTCCTGCCGCACGTATTTCCCTTTTCCTCTTTCCCCAGAATCCACACATCATTGGTCATACGCTTGAGTCATGTTTGTAAACACCAGAAAGCTCTTTCTTTTCCTTGCCCTCACGCAATTGCTCCACACTGTGAACTTTTGCTTTTATTTTGATGTTGAATAATCGTGAATGAACACTTGTGAACAGTGCTAGACAAGAAATAACAAGCTGATTAATTCAGCTGAGTAGAGAAAAAAAAGAAGAGATTGGTGATAAAAGCTTTCTCAAGTTTCAAACAAAACATTATTTATATCCATATGGGATTTTCAGTGAAATGTAATTGTATTTAGAATAATAGTTTATGAAGCAAATGCTCTCATATACATTCCATCCTTTGTTCTCCTAGATTTTTATTCATAAATGGTATTGAGAGAGAATTGATTACCATAAAATTCATAACATTCCGGAATCAAAAATAGCAGTGAGAGTTCAAGGAAAAGTATATTTTTCTCTGAATGGAAGGCCTTATGTTAAAGTACTTGTTTTCTCCTAATGTAAACTACCGGGGTCTTCATACATTTTATCATGTCATCCTCTCAGCAATCCTATGAGAAAGGCAATAGTAATAGCTTTATTTTACAGAGGTAGAAAATGAATTGCTGATAAGTAAGGAACAGATGAAATAGAGGTGAGATGGGATTGGGAGGCTGCTCTGTCAGGGAGAGTGAATAATCTGGTCTGTGTTGCCTGTGGGGGATTATCACTGCACACGGCAGCCACCAAAGATAATCTGTTTCTTGTTGAGCGGAGATGTTTCATTAGTTTGTCTCAGGCCATCCAGCTAGCAAGGTTTCGGATGTCTGTCTTGGAGCTGAGCCTTTCACACGGCACAACCCAGGCCCACAATCATGCAGCACCTTCCTGCCGTTATCATACTTTACTGTAATGTCTATTTATCTTTCCTGTTGACTTATAAACTCCAAACCTTCAAGGACAGCCCGTCTCTAATGCTTAGAACATAGCAGATGCTCACTAATAACTGCTGGATGAATTAACAGATACTCTGAGGAAATAGTCCAGGTGTACCGCAGTCTCAACTTGGATTTCTTCCTGGCATGTATCACAGCTTTAAACACAAAGCGTTATTTGATTGCTATCTCTCACCCAAAGGGCCATAAATCTAACAACAAGAACCATGAATGTTGTACTCACTGTCGTCTCCCGTTTTCTAACATGGAACCTAGATCGGCCACTGTCGATTGTTGCTGAACGCATCAATGTGATGACAAGAGTAGTTAAAAACAAGTGGAGATTCTAGTGACAGTATCCCCAAAACTTCGTCTCTCTAGGAATTTTCCTCTGTAATGTTCCTATCTCTTTTCCCTCTTCTGTTTTCCTTACTTTTTTCTTTCCATCTCTTTTCTTCTCTTTACTGGCATTTATTTATTAAACAATTTGCTTAGCACTTAGTAGGTGATAAGCACTGTAAAGTATTATTTAATTCTATTTTTTTTTTTATTTTTTTTTAAATTTTTTATTGGATTATAGGTTTTGGGGTACATGAGCAGAGCATGCAAGACAGTTGCGTAGGTACACACAGGGCAGTGTGCTTTCTTTTCTTCTCCCCTTCACCCACATTTGGCTTTTCTCCCCAGGCTATCCCTCCCCACCTCCCCCTCCCACTGGCCCTCCCCTTTTCCCCCCAATAGACCCCAGTGTTTAGTACTCCCCTTTCTGTGTCCATGTGTTCTCATTTTTCATCACCCGCCTATGAGTGAGAATATGCGGTGTTTCATTTTCTGTTCTTGTGTCAGTTTGCTGAGGATGATGTTCTCCAGATTCATCCATGTCCCTACAAACAACACAAACTCATCATTTCTGATTGCTGCATAATATTCCATGGTGTATATGTGCCACATTTTTCCAATCCAGTCTATTATCAATGGGCATTTGGGTTGATTCCAGGTCTTTGCTATTGTAAACAGTGCTGCAATGAACATTCGTGTACATGTGTCCTTATAGTAGAACGATTTATAGTCTTTTGGATATATACCCAGTAATGGGATTGCTGGGTCAAATGGAATTTCTATTTCTAAGGCCTTGAGGAATCGCCACACTGTCTTCCACAATGGTTGAACTAATTTACACTCCCACCAACAGTGTAAAAGTGTTCCTTTTTCTCCACATCCTCTCCAGCATCTGTTGTCTCCAGATTTTTTAATGATCGCCATTCTAACTGGCGTGAGATGGTATCTCAATGTGGTTTTGATTTGCATCTCTCTGATGATCAGTGACGATGAGCATTTTTTCATATGATTGTTGGCCTCATATATGTCTTCTTTCGTAAAGTATCTGTTCATATCCTTTGCCCACTTTTGAATGGGCTTGTTTGTTTTTTTCCTGTAAATCTGTTTGAGTTGTTTGTAAATTCTGGATATCAGCCCTTTGTCAGATGGGTAAACTGCAAAAATTTTTTCCCATTCTGTTGGTTGCCGATTCACTCTAGTGACTGTTTCTTTTGCCGTGCAGAAGCTGTGGAGTTTGATTAGGTCCCATTTGTCTATTTTGGCTTTTGTTGCCAATGCTTTTGGTGTTTTGTTCATGAAGTCCTTGCCTACTCCTATGTCCTGGATAGTTTTGCCTAGATTTTCTTCTAGGGTTTTTATGGTGCCAGGTCTTATGTTTAAGTCTTTAATCCATCTGGAGTTAATTTTAGTGTAAGGTGTCAGGAAGGGGTCCCGTTTCTGCTTTCTGCACATGGCTAGCCAGTTTTCCCAACACCATTTGTTAAACATGGAATCCTTTCCCCATTGCTTGTTTTTGTCAGGTTTATCAAAGATTGTATAGTTGTATATATGTTGTGTTGCCTAGTATTATTTAATTCTAATAGCAATCCTATGAGATAGGTAGGATTTTTATCATCCACATTTTATACCTGAGTATGGAGACACTGAGTTAAGAAATGTGCCCAAGGCCACGGGGCTTGCATTCGGACTCAGGCATCAGGTCCCAGAGTCTGTGCTTTTACCACTATGATATCCTGCTTCTTATTCATTCCACTCCCCCTGAAGAGGCACATAAATGGAAGTGAGGTCTCGTCACTGCGTCTCTCCATATTGATTTATGTTCTCCAGTTTAAATTTAATTTTGGAGGCGCTTTCCCACTGAGTTAGCCTGCTTTGGTGCAGAGACAGACCAACCTCAAATCTCAGTGGCTGACCACGAGCATGTATTTCTGGGCCAGTTCCATGCCAGCAGTCGTAAGTCACCTGTGGAGACTCCGTTCTATGTGTCTTCTCAATCTGGTGGGACTGTATAATCCTTTTACCAGGAAGGGAGCTAATATGCGGGAACCATCATACAATTTGCAACAGCCATTAAACTCTTGGTACATCCTACAGTCCTCTCTTGCCATTACATGTAATAGCAACACTCAGGCCAGAGGTTCAACTTCTTTTCATAAAAAGAAGGCAAAAAGCTGATTCAGAGTAATTCAAATATTTTTGTGTACATAAAATGAATGAAGTTTTGACTGGTACTTTTTAACACTTTGGTGGAGATGAGACAGGTATGTATTCTGCATCAACAGGTTCCTTTTTAACTCCTGAGGGATCAAAAAACATTCACATGGTTATAAGTTCTCTGAACCCATAATGGTTTTTTTTTCTCTAACAGCTTCTTCAACATTAATTTTGCTCAGTTCGGTTCATCAAAAATTTTTCAAATGCCTGCTGTGGACTAGCCTTGTGCCAAGAATTAACGTAACAATATTGAGTTTGTTTTCTATTTCTTTGAGATTGATGAGCTTCCTGAGAACAGGGTCTGGATTCATCCTAGCAGGGAGTACATTGCTGGCACAGAGCAGACAGCCAGTTAATACTGAATCAGATGAATTCAGTATTAACTGGCTGTCTGAATCAGACCAACTGAATCAATGAAAACTGACAGTTTCCAAATGCATCTTTCCCTCTTTCCTACAGGAACTTCTTCTTGCAGAAAAGTGGGCTAAAATGAACAAGCTCCCCTTTCCAAAGATCGATCCTTATGTGTTTGATCGGGAAGGGCTAAAGGAGTGCTATGTCTTTAAACCCAAGAATCCTGACATGGAGAAAGATTGTCCAACCATCATCCACTTTGTTCTGGCCAACATCAACTTCAGAAAGTACAAGGCTCCAGGTATGTTGGGAGTAAGTTGTATTCCATAAAATAGAAATTAAGTAGGGGAGCAAAACTGATATTAAACTGTTTCACTCTGGCACTCCCGTACCGGCTGTTACACCATTGAACGCCAGCCTTACCTTGATAAGCAGATACCATCTGGGACCTCAGGTACGTCCCCTCTTTCTTACCCCAGGATCCCCTGAATTGCTCACAGTCCAGAGACTAAAAAGTCAACGACTAGTTTAACAAAAATCTCTGGGACTTTATTTCAGTACTTTGAGTTATGTTTGTTCTGACTGATTTTTAATCAAATATTTTGACTATCACCCTTGTAAGAAAGCTCTTATTTCAGAAAAATTATGCAAATTTCTGGGAATTTTAGCTGACCACAAGATTAACATAATCTAGCAGTGCACCACGGCTAGCAATTTCAGTGTGCCACGTTGTATTTCATAGAAAACAGGAATCAAGTTTGAGATGCAGCCGGTTTGTGTTTGTTTTGTTTTGTTTACTATATCTAGAGGAGTGTCTTGACTCTCATGTATCCTGGAAAATGTTGATTAAACAAAGGAGATCTGAAGATTGGCATGCAGGCTCCTTAAAGCTCTAAAAACCCTACTTTAGGACCACAAAATGGATTTTCCATTTTGTGAATGGAAAGACACAAAAAAATAGGGGGGGATGAGCAATGGGAAGATGCTGAAGACAATGGCATTTTTCTCGATTTCTCAGAATCGATTGGCGTGAAGATTATTGTGAAGCATAGAGTTCGGCACAGGAGAAGGTAGAAATTGCTGACACTTTTAGTTATCAGGCAGCAGACCACTTGGAACCCAGTGAATTTCCTATCACTGTGAATTCTCAACGAGAGGCTCCCTGAGCAGTTGGCATGTGGGGGATTTCCATGGCATGAAGACAGTCACATAATGTTTTGGTTTGGGTGCTCCCAGAAATCGATTCTGAGAAAAGGACTCAAGTGCAAATAGTTTATTTGGAAGAGCTGGGGAACACGCTAGTTTATTAGTAAAGAAATGGGGAAGTGGTAACGGGAAGGAAGGCAGACAACAAAACTGCGTTAGGAACCTGACCTGCTGGGAAAGACTAAGAAATGGAATAGACCTGTGGCCTGCAGTCATGCTTCCCACACACACACACCAACAGGCGGGGGAATGGAGTATTCAGATGTTAACTCCCTAGAGTCTTTGGTTGACCACTGCCCGGGATACAGTGTTGTCAAATTTCCAGCCTGCTGCCAGTGAGCCAAGCAGAATTCTATAGTTGCAAGGCAGAAGAGAAAGCCCTCAGGCACAGAGATGGCAGATACGGCAGCTGGATGTCACCTGGTCAGAACACACCGAAATGATAAGTCCAGAGATACTAGAGTACCCGGCTCTGCGGGGCTCCCACTGCTGTCTTTATGTCTGTATGTTTTCTTCCTCGAGTTTTAGAGATATTTTGTAGTTTTCAAAATAACACCCTTTATGACTCTTCTGGTATTTAGGCGTTCCAAGGGAAACTGAGGAAGAGAAAGAAATTGCTGACTTTGATATTTTTGATGACCCAGAATCACCATTTTCAACCTTCAATTTTCAATATCCAAATCAAGCGTTCAAAAGACTACATGATCTCATGCACTTCAATACCCTGAACAACATTGATGTAAGTATCTCCTATGGCCACTCTTTCAAATGACTTCCATACCACATAAATACACCAATACCTCTTTGCAATTAAACATTTTAAAAAGTGTTATGAATGACACCACCCAAAATGTGCCACTTTACTTTTCATGAATTATTTTGCTAATCTCCAGAAGAACCCTACAAATCTAACAAATAAGGAAGCTTATTCTATGCTTATTATTTTATTGAATGATTAGTTAATAATCAGTTTCTTTCCCAAAGTATCTATTTATGATAAAATAAGAAAGAAAAGTGACAAAAAGGAAATATATGAAAATGAATGTAATCAGAAGTGTAGTTAATCTGCAAAAATATGCATGAATTTTAACACATACATTTATGATTTTACATGTTTTCTTTTGTGAATTTGGGCAGTATCACAAAAGGGAACAGCCTCCCCTATTTTTAGCCCTTGGGATGTCAAGTATACTTTGCTTTAGAAAAAGTCACGGTCATTTTTTCATATTTGTTGGCCTCATGTATGTCTTTTTTTGTAAAGTGTCTGTTCATATCCTTCGCCCACTTTTGAATGGGCTTGTTTTGTTCTTGTAAATCTGTTTGAGTTCTTTGTAAATTCTGGATATCAGCCCTTTGTTAGATGGGTAAACTGCAAAAATTTATTTCCCATTCTGTTGGTTGCTGATTCACTCTAATGACTGTTTCTTTTGCCGTGCAGAAGCTGTGGGATTTGATTATGTCCCATTTGTCTATTTTGGCTTTTGTTGCCAGTGCTTTTGGTGTTCTGGTCATGAAGTCCTTGCCTGCGCCTATGTCCTGAATGGTTTTGTCTAGATTTTCTTCTAGGGGTTTTATGGTATTAGGTCTTATGTTTAAGTCTTTAATCCATCTGGAGTTAATTTTAGTGTAAGGTGTCAGGAAGGTGACCAGTTTGTGCTTTCTGCATATAGCTAGCCAGTTTTGCCAACACCATTTATTAAACAAGGGATCCTTTCCCATTGCTTGTTTTTGTCAGGTTTGTCAAAGATCAGATGGTTGTAGATATGTTGTGTTGCCTCCGATGCCTCTGTTCTGTTTCATTGGTCTATATCTCTGTTTTGGTACCAGTACCATGCTGTTTTGATTACTGTAGCCTTGTAGTATAGTTTGAAGTCTGGTAGTGTGATGCCTCCTGCTGTGTTCTTTTTGCTTAGAATTGACTTGGCTACGCGGACTCTCTTTTAGTTCCATATGAAGTTTAAGGTGGTTTTTTCCAGTTCTGTGAAGAAGGTCATTCTCAGCAAACTGACACAAGAACAGAAAATGAAATACTGCATGTTCTCACTCAAAGGCGGGTGATGAACAATGAGAACACATGGACACAGGGAGGGGAGCACTATACACTGGGGTCTGTTGGGGGGAATCAGGGAAGAACAGCAGGGGGTGGGGAGTTGGGGAGAGATAGCATGGGGAGAAATGCCAGATATAGGCAAAGGGGAGGAAGGCAGCAAATCACACTGCCACGTGTGTACCTATACAACAATCTTGCATGTTCTTCACATGTACCCCACAACCTAAAATGCGATAAAAATAAGTAAATAAGACAGAAAAAGTCACGGTCTTCAGTATCAATCCTTCCTATCACTAGTATATCTTCTGCTAAGATTCTGTTTCTAGGTGAAATTCTTTCATTTTTAACTTACCATTTAGGAACACTATTCTGTAACTGAAATCATTGGCTCGTGGTTCTAAATCATAGTGTCTAACAAATGATCATCAGTTGTGCAAGCTGAAGTTCATTAGCCTAGTTGGATTTTGTGCATTAGAAAAACAGGGGGAAAAAGAAAGAAATTAAATGGAGAAGGAAAGGCATCATGCCTGATTTACCAGTCATTTTGGTGACTATGTAAATGGCACAGAGGAACTCAGAATACGTGAATGAGTGTTCTGCTTCTATGGGCTTTCATTAGATTTTGTGGGCTTATGGAACCCCACACATCTAGTTTGCTTGCTTGTTTTGTTTGTCCTGAGGCTAGTAATGATCACTTGTGTGAATCATCACAGTTGTACCATAATATACGTGTTAATCAATATCTTTACTTTTTGCAACGTGTGCAAGTTTTTCCCATAAGCTTTGTTCTTACAACTCTAAAATTCTTTTTTTCCAGTCTTCATTTACAAATAGATGATAATTCATACAAAACACATGTATCAAAATATATAGCATGTGTCATTTTCTCCATAGATTTGTTTCCTTTTTAGAAAAAAATGTTTCAAGCAGTGGACATCTGAAATCCACATGATGCATTATCTCTGTGCTGGTGGCAAAAATTGAAAGGTTAAGAGAAAAATGATTCATTTGTGATTTATAGGGAGTGAACAGAAATTATCAAAATAGAGTTAGTTTCGTTTATAAAACCTTGTGCAACTAAAAGAGAGGTAAGAGTTAATATCACAGTCATCCTGTTTTTCCAGTATGAGCCAATAAACTCAAAACTACACATTCCTTGGGATGAAATTTATTAATTGATAAGCCTTTTGCAAATGGAAAAAAAAATAGATTGTAGGAATATATAAATACCATATTGGACTTGGGAATAGATATACATATATAGGAGTGTATCTTAACCAACTATATTTGTCTTGCTGTTCTAGTTTATATAAAGTCTGTTAAACAATTTGCAATAAGGAATGATATAGTTCTATTTATATATTTTACATTCCTCAAAGTAGTTTGTTTGACACATAGATGTAAAAGTTAAAGCCTGAACAAAAATAGATCGAATCCCAGAACAACTGTCCCAACTTACACACCTCATCAGATGTTGATTCTTTGGAAGCCATTAATTTGGCAGTTTAAAAAATCTGTGCTCACTTTCTATTGTGATGAGATGTATAAAGCATAAAATTTACCATTTCGATCATTTTTAAGTGTACAGTTCAGTGGCATTAAGTGCACTGCATCATCGTGCAATCATCCCTACCATCTCTCTCCAGAAGGTTTTACATCTTCCCAAACTGAAACTCGGTACCCACTAACCAGCGAGTCCCCATTTCCCTTGCACTTTTAGTAACAATACCGTTAGGTTTTTGTAAGAAGATTGATAAGTTCATTAAAAATAATATGAAAGTGGAAAGGACCAAAGCAGCCTAACTCAACTTGAAGAAGGAAAAGCAAAGTTAGATTTATTTTACCAAATAGAAAGAAAGGTAACATAATTAAGGAAACATGACTGTCCAAGGACAGATAGTAGCACTAAATAATATCATCTTTGAATAAATTTGTGACTATCTATAAGGAAAAAGTGATCAGATGATTATTCACAAGGAAAAATATTAAATTGACATCTTTCACATGATCAACAAAGCCAATTCCAGAGAGACGGTAGATTGGAGTATGAAAGTCAACGAAATTTCTAGAATACAACACCGGGGAGTATCTTTAGAACTTAGACCCGGGGAAATATTTTTTAAACTTGAGGATAAAGCATTAGCCATGTAGGACAATCCTCTCTCCAAGTCCTTCAGTTCTGAGAATTAAGCAGTTTTTAATTGCTTCTACTACTGTTTCTATCACAGCATGTATAGACAAGGTCATGGGCTTTATATCATCTTTAAATCCCACACGGGGGCCGCTCATGTGACTTTGAATAAGCTGCTTAAACTTTTTGAGCCTCAGCTTTGTCTTCTCTGAAACAGGCGTGGTGGGACCTATAATAATTTTAATAGTGAATGTTTAATTGGGTGAGGCATGATCAGAGAAGCTGTTCTAAATGGGAACCTTACCTATACATGTCCGTGTCTTGTACCTCTGAAGGTTCGTGGGGATTACATCCGAAGACCTTTGCAAATGCCCCAGATTAACAACATAGACAAATTTGTACAGGTCATGCCAGCTCAGACAGTAAGTAACTATTTTTGAGTGAACAAATGAAGGTAGGCTTTTCCTGAATAACATGAACATTGAGACTCACGTTCAAGTCATTCCTCTTTGTGCGTGTGTGCATACTTAAAAAACAGATGAAAATTTCAGTTTTCACTGAATACCGAATAGCTGACAATTTACCTCTTCCTTAGTGACTCCCTCCTTCTCCACTTCAAGAAAACGCATTTTTATCAGAATCAAAAATCCTTTTTTTTTTTTTTGAGACAGAGTTTCTCTCTTGTTACCCAGGCTGGAGTGCAATGGCGCGATCTTGGCTCACCACAACCCCGCCTCTGGGTTCAGGCAGTTCTCCTGCCTCAGCTTCCTGAGTAGCTGGGATTATAGGCACGCACCACCATGCGCAGCTAGTAGAGACGGGGTTTCACCTTGTTGACCAGGATGGTCTCGATCTCTTGACCTCGTGATCAACCCGCCTCGGCCTCCCAAAGTGCTGGGTTTACAGGCGTGAGCCACCGTGCCCGGCCCAGAATTAAAACTTCTTTATAAATGATGGTACTTAAAGAGCAACAAAACTCTGCTGAGGTTAGGATGCTGGAGAGCTCATTAGGCTCAGTGATTAACTCATCACTCCCACACCATTTGAATAAAGTAGGATGCTGATTCTCATTTCAGCAACACAGCGTATGTTTATTGCCACAGACCATCAGAGTTCTTTGTAAATAGTGAATGGATATTGTGAATATAAACTCTTACAATGCAAAGTCACTTCTCTGCCAATTTGATAGACAACAGTTTTCAACTTTGCAACTGTGACCACTGTGGCTTAAGGCAACGTTTCCTCTTCAGCTCACTCTGACCTAAATTTTTTTGACGAGGCCATGCTGTATCAGCCACTGCAGCCTCCTCTTGCCTCATTTTATCAAGAGATCCTAGCTGGCCTGCTTCGCCGAGGCTGCATTTCCGATTATCTTTAGCGGGTTTCTGCTCTGTTTCTGCTCACATCATGACAGCGGCCTGGGTTTCTCGTAGCATCAGGCTTCTGCTCTCACTCGATCCTCCCACATTCCTTTTCACTGAACATTGTCTCGATGCTTTTACAATTACAGGAGCATTTCCTTTTTTTTCCCTATCAGAAACTTAACAGATAGTGACTTACACTGGTAGACATGTGATTGGGGGGTTGGGGGGGTTGCAGAGGCGTTGGAGTCTGACCAAATTGGGTATTCGGTTGACTTTGGACATGCTGGTTAACCTTTCTAAATTTTGCTTTCCCGTTTTGTAAAGGGAAGTGATGGTACATATCACGTAGGATCCGGATGGGGATTAAGTAAAAGAATATAACTGAAGGGCATGGCATGTAATAGACACTCAGTAGATTGAAGCCGCTAATATAATAATGACAATAATGGTTATTGGTGTTCCTGGTTTTTGGCTTTTAATTATAAATTATAAACCCTTTAAAAACAGTGACTTGCTTTATTTATGTTGTATGCTTTAGACACACTGATCACAATGCCTGACACCTGAAGTCAGTCTGCAGTACAGTTTTCATGATGGTTGTTTAAAATGTCATTGACTTGCTGTGGGTAGGAAGTCCCAGGACACAGGTGCTGTTGGTTGGGTGGAGGCGGAGGTCCCAGTCATGGGGAATTTTTATACGGTACATGCCTGCCCACGCAGTTTGGTTACATACTCTGCTCTTAAACCAGCACTTTGATCTGGAAGGAATATGCCTTCTGAGATTTCTTTTCTAGGACCTGTTAATTTGCTGTCACAGGAAAATATATTGTTTCCCACTCTCACTTATGCAAATTATTAACTTGATAGGCATATTCTTAGAACCAGTTATGTGTCAGTTTATTCAGCATACGCCAATGATGCAAAGTAATGAGATTTCCTCTTTCTTAATTATACAAAGTGCTAAACATTAGATGTTAATTAAAATGAGGATATGTCCATATCCAGAAATATTGGTACTTATTTCTTAATTTACTGATATTTCTTCATCCTGATAAGGGTATGTAGGTACAAGTCAAGGTTCTTATCTTTTAGAAATAATTTAGAAGCTGATTATTATGTATTATTCCCTAATTAGGCCATAACTTACCTATCTTTAATGCTGCCTATAATCTCTGTCTCATTTATTAATTCAACACCTATTTTTTATTTAGTGTGCCAGCAACTGTATTAGGAACTAAGGGTACCACACAGAAATAACAATGAAAAGCTTTGAGTGCTTCATATAAGCCAAATATTTCCCCCAAATGTTTAACACTCAAGACTAGCCTATGAGGTTGGGGTTTAACATTTTTTTTTTTATTTCTATGTTAGGAAACTAAGTCATGGATTATTTAGGCAGATTGCTGGAGGGTCACCATGACGTGGGGGAGCTGAGATGAGGCCGATGTCTTTTCTCCTTCATTCCTTACTTTTGAACCATCTGTCTCTCAAGTAGCCTTATTTCTTGTTTTTTCCCAGACAAGCCTTCATTCTAGCCAGGCCAACCGATTCCCAGATGTCTCTGACGCATGCCACAGCCTTCCGTCTGCAGCCTTTTCATATGGCTGTTCTTCTACGGAGAATGCCCCGTGTTCTGCTCTACTTATAAAACCCTGCCTGTCCTTTAACTCATCTGGTCTCATTGTCCCTACGCTGTCCTGTGTCAGTCAACCTCTAATGAGCACCTTCTGTGTATTTCTGAGTTTTACAAATATTTATTATGTACCTTCCATGTTCTAAGTGCTGGGATTTAAAAAAAGAAAAAAATGACAAGCCTGATGAACTTTCTGTCTTCCTTACATTTCAGTTCTTATTAAAAAGGCAGGCATTATCCAGTAAATTCACAGTAATTTACACCTAAATATCTTCTTGTGTTCTCCTGTATTTGTCATTTTTACTTCTCTAACAAAATATATTGTAACTTTCTCTCTTGGGCTTATTCCTTATTTTCTATTGTGATAACTCAATATTTGTTTGTAAATTGCTTATAATCTTACCTCTACAAATTTGTTTCTTATGTGGGGGGTACGATTACATTTTATGTGCTGGTTTTTCTTATTCTCTGCTTTAATTCATTACCAAAGGCTTAAGGGATCTGGTTCAAAAATAGGAGGCTGTTGAATGGCACAAGTGAAAGATGAGGTGGGATAGGCGGTGGGAATGGAGAAACACTGAAGGGAAGGATTTGGAATCTCGGCGAATTTCAGGGAAGAATCAAAGAGACACATCATTTAAGATGACTTCTTGTATACAAAAAAGAAAGATTTAAATTTAGCATAACGTCTCTTGGGATGTATGTATTTGTATCATATAGGATGCCAAAAGGTTTGAATTTAATAACTGATCTAGTGGTGGGCTTGGTTTTTTCTATCACAGAACTGTAACTCTCAAGAACAGCGCATTTTCTGCAGTAATCTGGAAAACCTGGTTAATGGTTTCATGGTGTTAATATGCCACCTAGTGGTTCAACTTGCACATTCTAATTTGGGGTTTTCTGCGTTGGACGTGTTCGTTTCCTTTCTCAGAAGGGCCTGCTCACTAGGAACACCACCTGGGTTCCAATTATAATAAACCCACTAGTTCCTGATGCTGATGTTGCTGATTTTTTATGCTCATGAATTCATGATGAAGGAGTTGATAGCAGCAGTCATTGGCAGTTTAATTTTCTCTATGGTCCCTTTTATTTTAATGCTTTTTTGGGTGCTCAGAAAGCAAACAGTTGTTTTTTATATTTTATTTGGACACTTCTATGCAGTGAGGGTTGATGTTTCTTGGATTGTTGTGAGAAGGAGAAACCAACTGATAAGCTCGCTGATAGGGATCTCCAGAAACGCAGGGAGATGTTAAAAAGAACTTGTAGTAGGACGCTTTGAATAGCAGAATCAATTCTCTGACTTACACAATGGAATACACTAATTCTTGGCTATATACCTGGTGTGTTTATTTCTTATAAACTTTATGGCTTCACTTCAAATATAGAGTTCCCAGTTTTCATCACATATTGTCAGTTTAAAAAATAACAAGCGTAATAGTTGCTATAGAAAGTTTGTTTATGTACCAGGCATTGTGCAAAGTGCTTTATACAAATGATCTCCAATCCCCACAGAACCCCAAATTAGTACATTATTTCCATTTTAAAGAAGAGGAAACGGGCTCATATATTTAGACTAGTTCCCCTCCATCTCACACAGCCAAGAATGTTTACGTCTGGCGGCCTTTGGTCTAAGTCTCCTTCATAGGTCTGAACCATCTCTTGTCATCACAGGATTATGTTTCCCTATTCATAAGAAAAATGGGATCAGCAAATATCAATTTTACTTTAAATTGATATTTCTAAACTAAATTTTAGTAAAATTTAGTCAATTTTACTAAAATAGACTCAGTCACATTTGAGTCCATTTTCCCCAGAAGATAGCTACATATATTACATTTTAAAATAAGGCATATAAAAGAATCACATTCCTGTGATAGCTCCCTGTTTCCAAAATGCTTCTTGGGCGTCTGTGAAATCAAGTCACAGAAAAATAATTGCATGTTAGATATCACGTTTAAGTGATGCAAAACACGCTCTCCTGCAGGCAGTGAGCCACACTTTCCCAGTGAGCTTGCATGTGGTAAGGGGAGAATCCCTCTGAGCATGCATCTCTAGGGCCAAGTGGCCCACAGCACTTGTGAGTGGGAGGAGGCCATGGCATCCTAAACTGCTCAGACTGGCCAAGTGTTCCTACCTGTGGCAGGAGGCTGAAAGGCACATGGACTATACCTTAATGTTGCTTAACAATCCCTGTGGTAGAGAATAAAGGGAACTGTGGAATAACTCTGTTCTTGGTGCTCAGAAACATTTACCTCATTGGTTATTGGGAAGAAATGAGGACTGTCCTGGGGAATGGAGTCTTCCTGATTTTAACAAGGTTCTGAACCAGGAGCGGAGACAAGATTACTCTTCAGGCCTTCTTCCAAAGCCCATTTCCATTGCTCTTCAGTAACTGCATCTACCAAATTCTGAATGTTCTCTTTTTCCCCCCAAATTCTAACTCGTTTTACTTCATACCAAAATCAGTGTATGACAAGTGAAATTCCTAGAGGCTGTAGTTTTCTGTATGTTCTTCTGGTTACCATTAACACGGGTATATGTAAAGACTATACATCGGGTATATGTATTCTGAATAAAAAGTAGTAATTCATTCTCACCAGTGAAATCACAGAGCGTGGTGTTTCCTAGATGGAGGAGGCTCACGTTTTATAACCGCGTAGGTTCAGTTGAGGAAGCAAGTCAGTTCTCCAGCAATGCCTTCTTCCTCCACTGGGGAGGACAAGCTTTTACTTTCCTGGTGGTCGTCATTTCTACGTGCCCACTAGTTACAAAGAACACAGGTTATAGATTTAGTAATTACTTGTTTCTTCCCTGTTATCTCATTTTTGGTAAAGGGAAGAGCCAACATAACTTTACCATGTTACCATTTTATTCCCAAATGTATCGGCACAAAACCTAGAACATTTTCATAATACTTCCTTCCCCGGCGAGGGAAGGAACAGTAGCTGAATATGAGCTTGACAAGAGCGGTGGTGGGATGTTGAATTTAAATGAGTATGCAAGACTCACAGATTTCTTTTTTTAATTTTATTTTTATTGCATTATAGGTTTTGGGGTACATGTGAAGAATGTGCAAGATAGTTGCATAGGTACACACGCGGCAGTGTGATACGCTGCCTTGCTCCCCTTCACCTGTATCTGGCATTTCTCCCCCTGCTATCTCTCCCCAACTCCCCACCCACTGCTATCCCTCCCCTATTCCCCTCAACAGACCCCAGTGTGTGATGCTCCCCTCCCTGTGTCCATGTGTTTTCATTGTTCATCACCCGCCTATGAGTGAGAACGTGGTATTTCATTTTCTGTTCTTGTGTCAGTTTGCTGAGAATGATGGTCTCCAGGTTCATCCACGTCCCTACAAAGGACACGAACTCATCATTTTTGATGGCTGCATAATATTCCATGGTGTATATGTGCCACATTTTCCCATCCAGTCTATCATCAGTGGGCATTTGGGTTGATTCCGGGTCTTTGCTATTGTAAACAGTGCTGCAATGAACATTCGTGTATATGTGTCCTTATAGTAGAATGATTTATAGTCCTTTGGATATATACCCAGTGATGGGATTGCTGGGTCAAATGGAATTTCTATTTCTAAGGCCTTGAGGAATCGCCACACTGTCTTCCACAATGGTTGAACTAATTTACACTCCCACCAACACTGTAAAAGTGTTCCTATTTCTCCACATCCTCTCCAGCATCGGTTCTCTCCAGATTTTTTAATGATTGCCATTCTAACTGGCAATGAGATGGTATCTCAATGTGGTTTTGATTTGCATCTCTCTAATGACCAGTGATGATGAGCATTTTTTCATATGTTTGTTGGCCTCATGTATGTCTTCTTTTGTAAAGTGTCTGTTAATATGCTTTGCCCATTTTTGAATGGGCTTGTTTGTTTTGTTCTTGTAAATCTGTTTTAGTTCTTTGTAAATTCTGGATATCAGCCCTTTGTCAGATGGGTAAACTACAAAAATTTTTTCCCATTCTGTTGGTTGCCGATTCACTCTAGTGACTGTTTCTTTTGCCGTGCAGAAGCTGTGGAGTTTGATTAGGTCCCATTTGTCTATTTTGACTTTTGTTGCCAATGCTTTTGGTGTTTTGTTCATGAAGTCCTTGCCTACGCCTATGTCCTGAATGGTTTTCCCTAGATTTTCTTCTAGGGTTTTTATGATGTTAGGTCTTACGTTTAAGTCTTTAATCCATCTGAGTTAATTTTAGTGTAAGGTGTCAGGAAGGGGTCCAGTTTCTGCTTTCTGCACATAGCTAGCCAGTTTTTCCAACACCGTTTATTAAACAGGGAATCTTTTCGCCATTGCTTGTTTTTGTCAGATTTGTCAAAGATTGTATGGTAGTAGATATGTTGTGTTGCCTCCGATGCCTCTGTTCTGTTCCATTGGTCTATATCTCTGTTTGGTACCAGTACCGTGCTGTTTTGATTACTGTAGCCTTGTAGTACAATTTGAAGTCCAGTAGTGTGATGCCTCCCGCTGTGTTCTTTTTGCTTAGAATTGACTTGGCTATGCTTGCTCTCTTTTGGTTCCATATGAAGTTTAAGGTGGTTTTTTCCAGTTCTGTGAAGAAGGTCATTGGTAGCTTGATGGGGATAGCATTGAATCTATAAATTACTTTGGGCAGTATGGCCATTTTCACGATACTGAGTCTTCCTAACCATGAACATGGAATGTTTCTCCATCTGTTTGTGTCCTCTCTTATTTAGTTGAGCAGTGGTTTGTAGTTCTCCTTGAAGAGGTCCTTTACATTCCCTGTTAGTTGTATTCCTAGGTATTTTATTCTTTCTAGCAATTGTGAATGGCAGTTCATTCTTGATTTGGCTCTCTTTAAGTCTTATTGGTGTATAGGAATGCTTGTGATTTTTGCACATTGATTTTGTATCCTGAGACTTTGTTGAAGTTGCTTATCAGTTTCAGGAGATTTTGAGCTGAGACGATGGGGTCTTCTAGATATACAATCATGTCGTCTGCAAATAGAGACAATTTGACTTCCTTCTTTCCTATTTGAATACCCTTTATTTCTTTTTCTTGCCTGATTGCTCTGGCTAGAACTTCCAGTATTATATTGAATAGGAGTGGTGAGAGAGGGCATCCTTGTCTAGTGCCAGATTTCAAAGAGAATGGTTCCAGTTTTTGCCCATTCAGTATGATATTGGCTGTTGGTTTGCCATAAATAGCTTTTATTATTTTGAGATACGTTCCATCAATACCTAGTTTATTGAGGGTTTTGAGCATAAAGGGCTATTGAATTTTGTCAAAGGCCTTCTGTGCATCAATTGAGATAATCATGTGGTTTTTGTCTTTGGTTCTCTTTATGTTATGAATTACGTTTATAGACTTGCATATGTTGAACCAGCCTTGCTTCCCCGGGATAAATCCTACTAGATCATGGTGGATAAGCTTTTTGATGTGCTATTGCAATCAGCTTGCCATTATTTTATTGAAGATTTTTGCGTCTCTGTTCATCATGGATATTGGCCTGAAGTTTTCATTTCTTGTTGAGTCTCTGCTGGGTTTTGGTATCAGGATGATGTTGGTCTCATAAAATGATTTGGGAAGGATTCCCTCTTTTTGGATTATTTGGAATAGTTTCAGAAGGAATGGTACCAGCTCCTCTTTGTGTGTCTGGTAGAATTTGTCTGTGAACCCATCTGGTCCTGGGCTTTTTTTGTGTGGTAGGCTCTTAATTGCTGCCTCAACTTCAGATATTGGTCTATTCATGGTTTCGACTTCTTCCTGGTTTATGGAGGATGCAAGTGTCCAGGAATTTATCCATTTCTTCCAGGTTTACTAGTTTATGTGCACAGAGTATTTTGTAATATTCTCTGATGATGGTCTGAATTTCTGTGGGATCTGTGGTGATTTCCCCTTTATTGTTTTTATTGCATCTATTTGGTTATTCTCTCTTTTCTTTTTTATTAATCTGGCAAGTGGTCTTATTTTGTTGATCTTTTCAAAAAACGAGCTCCTGGATTTATTGATTTTTTTGAAGGGTTTTTCATGTCTCTATCTCCTTCAGTTCTGCTCTGATCTTAGTTATTTCTTGTCTTCTGCTAGGTTTTGAGTTTTTTTGACCTTGCTCTTCTAGCTCTTTCAATTTTGATGATAGGGTGTCAATGTTGGATCTCTCCTTCTTTCTCATGTGGGCACTTATTGCTATATATTTTCCTCTAGAGAGTGCTTTAGTTATGTCCCAGAGATTCTGGCATGTTGTGTCTTCATTCTCATTGGTTTCAAAGAACTTCTTCATTTCTGCCTTCATTTCATTATTTATCCAGTCAACAATCGAGAGCCAGTTGTTCAGTTTCCATGAAGCTATGCGGTTCTGAGTTAGTTTCTGAATTCTGAGTTCTAACTTGATTGCACTGTGGTCTGAGAGACTGTTATGATTTCCATTCTTTTGCATTTGCTGAGGAGTGATTTACTTCCCATTATGTGGTCAGTTTTAGAGTAGGTTTGATGTGGTTCTAAGAAAAATGTATATGCTGTGGATTTGGGGTGGAGAGTTCTGTAAATGTCTATCAGGTTTGCTTGTTCCAGGTCTGAGTTCAAGTCCTGGATAACCTTGTTAATTTTCTGTCTGGTTGATCTGTCTAATATTGACAGTGGGGTGTTAAAGTCTCCCACTATTATTGTGTGGGAGTCTAAGTCTCTTTGTAAGTCGTTAAGAACTTGCCTTATGTATCTGGGTGCTCCTGTATTGGGTCCATATATATTTAGGACTGTTAGCTCTTCTTGTTGCATTGATCCTTTTACCATTATGTAATGTCCTTCTTTGTCTCTTTTGATCTTTGTTGCTTTAAAGTGTATTTTATCAGAGACGAGAACTGCAACTCCTGCTTCTTTTTGCTCAGTAAATCTTCCTCCATCCCTTTATTTTGAGCCTTTGTGTATCCTTGCCTGTGAGATGGGTTTCCTGGATACAGCACACAGATGAGTTTTGGCTTTTTATCCAATTTGCCAGTCTGTGTCTTTTGATTGGTGCATTTAGCCCATTTACATTTAGGGTTAATATTGTTATGTGTGAATTTGATACTGCCATTTTGATTCTAGTTGTCGGTTTTACCCATTAGTTGATGCAGATTGTTCATTTTGTTGATGCTGTTTAGCATTTGGTATGATTTTGGAGTGGCTGGTACTGGTTATTCCATTCTATGTGTAGTGCCTCTTTCAGGAGCTCTTGTAAAGCAGGCCTGGTGGTGACAAAATCTCTGAGTACTTGCTTGTTCGCAGAGGATTTTATTTTTCCTTCACTTATGAAGCTTCGTTTGGCGGGATATGAAATTCTGGGTTGAAAGTTCTTTTCTTTAAGGATGTTGAATATTGGCCCCCACTCTATTCTGGCTTGTAGGGTTTCCGCCGAGAGATCTGTTATGTGTCTGATGGGCTTCTCTTTGTGGACAACCTGACCTTTCTCTCTGGCTGCCCTTAGCATTTTCTCCTTCATTTCAACCCTGGTGAATCTGATGATTATGTGCCTTGGGGTTGCTCTTCTTGAGGAATATCTCCGGTATTCGCTGTATTTCCTGGACTTAAATATTGGCCTGCCTTGCTAGGTTGGGGAAGTCTTCCTGGATAATATCCTGAAGAGTATTCTCCACCTTGAATTCGTTCTCTCCGTCACATTCAGGTACACCTATCAAACGTAGATTAGGTCTCTTCACGTAGTCCCACATTTCTTGGAGACTTTGTTCATTCCTTTCTGTGCTTTTTTCTGTAATCTTGCCTTCTCGTTTTATTTCACTGAGTTGAT